TCCTAACAAACCATACATCAATGGAAAGCTTATTTATTCAGCTTTCAGATGATGTATACATCTCAATTTCAAAAAATTGACCCTTATGACTGGTTTTGTGGGCCACGGTCACATATATTCAGTGTCAAAAGAGAAAAATATTTAAAACAATTAATTTTGAATTTCCATTCCTGTATGCCTTTATTAAATTAAGGTCAGATTCAAATGTCTCATCTCAGTGTCCAGTCTTGTTTATTCGAAGTGGACTGCTATTTCGTGTTCCTGTGCTCCAATTAATATCTTCAGTGATTCCCTCCTAAGTGTCTTCCCATTCTCATGTTCCCTGCGTTGTGTAGTCGGGATTACCTGGATACTTATCCCTACGGCGAGGTGTGTGCTTACTCCCCATCTGCTCCACCATCCACGATCTCCTGCACCTGCAAACAGGGAAAGTCTGTTTATCACTCTCATCTTCATTCTCAGAAATATTGAACTGCCACTTACCTGCCATTACCTTCCTTTTCTCAGAAATGTCAATAAACCCCTATTTGCATCTTCATTCAGTCTGTGTCTACATTCTGTAACATGAAAAATAGATTTACATCATTTTAATGCAGCCTTTTAACACAATGAAGTAGAGCTGAATGAGTGGCATTTCATGCTGTTATGAAACTGAAAGAGTCTGGAGGCTGCAGGGGAAGATTTTCTCTGAGCTGCTGGACCAAAGATGAACCCAAAGAAGAAACTGACTGCAGATTAGAGCAAGTGAGGTTTTCTGTGGAAATATGCCACATTTAAAACTTTCTGTTAAACATTGATTGTTTTATAAAATCATACATCATGAGCATAGATTGCTTTTCCTGGTGATAAAATAAAAATGAATACCTTTGTTTATTTAAAGTGTGATCTAAATTGGCAAACCAAGCCATTAGACTCTAGGTCAGTGTTTCCCAACCGGGGTGCGGTCTGTCGAGAGCAGGGGTGCCGTGTAAAAAATCATTTTTTAATATTTTTAACTTGCTAAAATGTTCAAAAAAGCATCTATTATATAATATCCATTTCTGATGTCGCCAATAATTAGAGATGCACCGAAATTTCGGCTGCCGAAAATTAGTTCACCTCAGGTTCACTTTCACGTGGTGTGACGCTCTGCGTATTATCCTGCTCTATGTGTGTGCTCCGCTCAGTCGCTCACAGCCCATGTGAGTGCTCCACTCATATACTGTTAATGCTCATCGGAACAGCAAAGTCCCCTCAAAAATCGAGCTGACAGGAAACATCGATGTAGTACAGTATCGTTTCTGTCTGCAATAGCCCTACTGTGTTGTAACATGATGTGTGGTATATGGGCAACTCTGGTAACGCTGCCCTCTCATTCATTGATCTGCTAACCGCTATGTTATGCTCACGTGTTCTGATAATAATAGCTTTCTAGGACTAAACATTATTTGGATAATTGGTAAAAAAAAAAAAAAATTGTTAAATATCTTAACCCTACTGTTAGACCTACCTGAAAAACTAAAAAGCAATTTATTTAATTCGAAGGCCTGTCGTTATTTTTTTATTTGTGCTATCGTTATTAACTTCTTTATTTGTTCTTATTTTATTACTGACTGCTTACTTGTCATTTTTTATTCAATTCAAAGTTTGAAATCAAGCTATCTCGTGCTACTGCACCAAAATTACCCCACTGTAAAATAAAAAAAAACACTTGAGTGAGCAAAAATTTGTGCGATAGCTAGTTATAATGGTAATTAAATAATGTTTACATATGTATAAAAGCCTACATTAAAATCTGTCATATAAATTGGTCTCTTCATTAGAAATTAGCCTACTGATTGCCACCATTGATGGACACATTTTTTTAATAATATTAAAAATATCTGTATGACATTATATTCTGCAGTTCTTCCCTGTTGTACCGAATATCTATACTTTTCAAATTATCATATCGAAGTTAGAAATTTAAATATTGTGACAAAATTAATTTTGTAGGGTGCCACAAGTTTGTTAAAATTTCCAAAGGGTGCCGCGACTAAAAAAAGGTTGGGAAACACTGCTCTAGGTAATAAACATGACTCAGTTATCACCAAGTAATGCCTATTTTCCAGCTTTCATGCATTTTAGCAGCGGTTAATCTGAAGCAGATAATCGGTGCTAGTTATTTATTTGCTATTTCATAGAAATAATAGAATATAGATTTTCTGTGACAAGTATGTTTTGCTTAACTTTCTGAAATATCTTATTAACCGTCAAAAATGTTACAGAAAATCCCCTGCTCTTGTACTGTGGTTGTGTACTGTTGCATGTTTTTTTCTTATAGCATAATCTTAATCAGAGTGCATACAGTATTTTCTCTGTTCTACTGACATTACTATGGAATTCATCTGTACTTCTACATTGATCAGATGCTGACAAAGATCTAAAAGATTAATAAATTTTACTTTAGTTCAAGCTATAATCATTCTCTCAAAGTACTCAGGCACATTTCAGCTGCGTTTAAAGTGATGGAGCTCAAAGAATACTTGAATGCCATTCATTTGCGTCAGATATTTATATTTATACAACAGTTTGTTCTGGTTCTCAAATCTGATTGGTTGAGAACCGTGAGATATTGTACTGGTATCGCTACAGGAACGCCCTTTCACAATTTTGTATCACTCCGCTTGTTCTAGCCCGGTCTATGATTTTTTTAATTATTATTCACTGAGCTAATCGTAGAGTACGTTAGTTAATATAAGAAGAAACGTCTAGCTTCGCGATCTCTCTCTCTCTCTCTCTCGCGCATTTGGATGCACATCTTGCAGCATTGTTTCTCTCTTATAACCTCATTATTTCTCACTAATAACCTAACTGAAGCAGCACATGCCCTTGATACGAATTCTATAAGTCACGTATGTTTAACTGTCAACTTCAGCTTTGAATCCATGGCGGAAGGAAGTAGTTCCGCACAAAATAGGGTTTTATTAGGCACTCCGTTGTTTCTTGTTTAATTACACATGTTCCGTCGAACTGTTGTATAAACGCAATATCACTCGAGTACGAGAGCGATACCGACTCTATATCAGCGGCTGTAATTGCCTCCGGCACTCGGCCTGCTGCCTCGTGCCTCATGCTAATCACAGCCATGCTGATATAGAGCCGGTATCGCTCTCGTACTCGAGTGATATTGCTCATATATTACCTGAATGTAGCTGTAATGTGTGTGTGTGTGTGTGTGTATACACACACATACACATAGGCCTACACATTACAGCATGTTTTACATTTATTAATTTAGCAAACGCTTTTATCCAAAGCGACTTACAAATGAGGAAAACAACGACGATTAATCTTAAGGTTTATACATTGGAGATTACAGAGATGAGGAAACGTTTAAAAGTTTGAAGAAATTTCAGTGAGACATAATTTTATTCCCTCCGCAGGTGGCTCAGAATCCCACCAAGCTTCACGTCAGTAGGGCTATACATTAGGTCTGGACAGTTACAGCTACCCCTATCATCAGTGGTCGAAGAGTTTAAGGTGGCAGAGTGCAGGGCTGTGATGATGTACAGAGACTCCAGTAATGAAAAGGTCAGAGACGCAGGCATCACCACAAGATCAGGACGCAAGTGGGCAGCTGACACATCAGTGGCGCAAGCTGAGAGCATGCTGAAGTTGAAGGACATCATCGGGAACCCGTGCATGGGGAGAGAAGGACTCGGGACCAACCACTTCCAACAATGGGGGAAGGCAGACCCAAGGCAGAGGAGAGATATGATCCAAGCCGAGGTCCGACACCTGGAGGAAGAAAGGTGACGGTCAAAGGCCGTGGAACTTGGATCACAAGGAGCCTGGACTAAGTGGGATCTGCCAAAGAGAAAAATCACGTGGCCTGAACTTTGGAGACTAGAGCCCTTCGCATCTCTTTCCTACTCCGATCAGTGTACGACACTCTTCCAACACCAACAAACCTGCACAGGTGGGGAATGAGGGAGGACTCACTGTGCAGTTTATGTGGAGGGAGAGGCACATTGGCGCACATACTGGCGGGGTGCAAGACGGCACTTAGCCAGGGGAGATATAGATGGTGCCACGACAAGGTCCTCTGTGCACTGGCTGATATCTTGGAGCAGGAGAGACGGACAAAGCGCCAGACCCATGTGAGACCAGCCTCATATATCCAGTTCATCAGGGAGGGGGAAAAGCCACCCTCCTCCAAGAAGAGCCTCCTGCAGGCAGCACAATCATGGGAGATGAGGGTGGACCTGGGTAGGAAACTACAATTTCCCCAGGTCATCCAGACATCCCTGAGGCCTGATGTGGTCATATGGTCTGAGGAGGTGAAGAGGATTATCCTGATTGAACTAACGGTACCGTGGGAAGACAGTTGTGATGAGGCCTCGGAGAGGAAGTTTACCAAGTACCAGGACCTAGTCCAACAATCCAGGGACAAAGGGTGGCAGCTATTTCCAGTTGAGGTTGGCTGCAGGGGTTTCCCGGCGCA